GAAAAAATTTACACAAGTTCAAACAACACCTCAGTTGGCAGGAAAGGAGACCTATTTACAGATGGTTTAAATAACCCAGATGCATTTAAATTTTTCTCACCATCTCAGGCTCTGTTTAGGGGGAGGGAAATGTAAGCATGGAACAGGATAAGGACTAGCTCTTCTGCACCGAGTTCCTCTGCGTTTGTTGGGAATCAGTTGTTTGCATGTCTTTTCCTGTTCCTTTATCAAGATGCCAATCCCACAGTCTTGGTTACTGTGACTGTGTAGCACACCTCGAAACCGGATGTTGTTAGTCTTCCAGCTTCGCTCCCTCTCTCCTCTTCTGTCGTTTCTTTATTTCACTGGCTAGAACTGTGAGTACAATGTTGGAGAGAAGTTGTGAGAGCAGACATACTTGTCTTATTTTTATATTAAAAGAAAAACATTCAGCCCTGTGGTGATGGGATGGCGGGGATGAGTTTCTTCTTTTTCCTTCCTTCCTAAAAAAAAAGAAAAACATTCAGTCTTTCATCACTAAGTTTAATGTTAGCGGAAGGTTTCTCAGAGCTGTCCCTTATCAGGTTGAGGATGTTCCTTTCAATTTGTAGTTTGCTGAAGAGTTTTTCATTGGGAATCCATGTTGAATTTCGTCAAAGTTTTTTTCTGCATTGAGATGATCATATGGTTCTTTCTTTTTGGTTTGTTAATGTGGTGAATTACATTGACTCTTTAAAAACTGTGGTACCCTGGCTGGTGTGGTTCAGTGGATTGAGCACCAGACTGAGAATCAAAGGGTCACTGGTTTGATTCCCAGTCAGGGCATGTGCCTGGGTTGCAGGCCAGGTCCCCAGTAGGGGGCGTGTGAGAAGCAACCACACACTGATGTTTCTCTCCCTTTCTTTCTCTCTCCCTTCCCCTCTCTCTAAAAATAAAATCTTTTTAAAAAGCCCAGGAGTTTGTTATGATACCTAAAAGAAAACACACCCCCCCAAAAAAAAAGAAAAAGAAAACAACCCACAAACAAATATCTCATTATTCACTTTTGGAAATTGCCAGCACACTCTTTTCCTGAAAGCTGGTGAGTTGAGAGACACAATTAAGCATTCATGGTATCTGTCCTCTGTGAACTCCACCCGTAGGTAACCAAACTGAAAGCCAGGGGAAGTTCTTCAAGAATTTCCAGCTAACTCGGAAATACGGAGAGAAGGAGAATCCCCACAGGCATTCGATTTCAAGTAAGGCGATCCCTTTGGATAAAAACACAAAAGCTGCTGAGAGCAGAGGTAGGAAGGAAGCTGACCTGGAGCTTCATTGTCAGGAGACGAGATGGTACCACCCGAACCTGTCAATCAGTCTTTGTGTCACTAAGAGGCAACTAGACATGATGTGACATCTGATGTAACACAATGGAAGTTTCTCAATACCATCTATGAAATATTCTTGCAAAAATATTCATCTGGAATCTGATCAAGCCTCTGGACCAGCATTTCTCAACTTGGGCATTACTGACATTTGGGGCTGGATAATTTTCTTTTCAGGAGGGGCTGGCCTATGCATAGTGAGATGTTACGCAGCATCCTTGGCCACTGCCCACTGTTAGTAGCTCTCCTACAAATTGTGACAATACCAGAAGGTCTCTAAATGTTACCAAACAAGCCAGGGCCTCAAACCCAGTTTAAAACCACTACTCTAACCAGTGTAACCCCAACAAATTCAATAAAGTGAAAAAACCCACTATTCTAGAACTGACTACCAATTTATAGGAAATAATAAAGATTCCAGCCCAGGCCAGGCAGCACAGCTGGTTAGAGCATCATCCTGATAGGCCAAGGTTGCAGGTTCAATCTCCAGTCAGGTCACATACAAAGAAGCAACTAATGAATGCGTGACTAACTGGAACAGCATGCCCTGGCTGGTGTGGCTCCATGGATTGAGTGCTGCCCTGCAAACCAAAGGGTCACCAGTTCGATTCCCAGTCAGGGCACATGCCTGGATTGTGGGCTGGGTCCCCAGCGGGGAGTGTGCAAGAGGCAACCACACATCGATGTTTCTCTACCTCTGTTTCTCCCTCCCTTTCCCTCTCTCTAAAAATAAATAAAGAAAAGTTTTATTAAGAAAAACAAACCAAGGCCCTGGCTGGTGTAGCTCAGTGGATTGAGCGCGGGCCTGCAAACCAGAGGATCGCAGTTCCATTCCCAGTCAGGGCACATGCCTGGGTTGCAGGCCGGTTTTCTGCAGGCCAGTTCCCAGCAGGGGATGCACGAAAGGCAATCGTACATTGATGTTTCTCTCCCTCTCTCCTTCCCCCCTTCCCCTCTAAAGATAAATAAATAAAATCTTAAAAAAGAAAAAGAAAAACAAACCAATAGGCAGAACTGTGATCCCTAAAAGAAGAGAAACAAACAAATAAACCTTATTATTCTCCAGGCTTTCTACCCAAAGAAATGTATAAACTGCTGAGTAAGAAGGGGCAACCCTAACCGAGCCCAACGGTCTCAACAGCCAAAGAAAAATGAGTTTGTGGAGGTTTAAATGCCTAGGATTTAAAGAACAGAGTACTGGAGAGGAGGGAGCTAGGCAGAGCAAGAATTCCAGAAATATTCATAGAAGTTGCCCATGAATCTTTGGCTAAATAACAACTGCATGTGATAATATGATCTGATACATGGAAAACCCTAAAGATTTCACACACGCACACACACACACACACACGCAGCCCTGTTAGAACTGATAAATGAATTCATAAAGTAGTGTAATACAAAGTCAAAACACAAATTTCACTTGCATTTCTTTACACTACAATGAACAATTTAGAAAGGAACAATGAACAATGAACAGAAACAATGAAGAATTTCTTAATTAAGAAAAATCTTGGCCCTGGCTGGTGTAGCTCAGTGGATTGAGCACGGGTCTGGGAACCAAGCAACCATGGTTCGATTCTCAGTCAGGGCACATGCCTGGGTTGTAGGCCAGTTCCCAGCAGGGGACACACAAGAGGCAACCATACATTGATATTTTTTTTAAATAATTTTATTTAGTTATTTTTCAAGTACAGTTTTCTGTCTATTTCTCCCATCCCGGCCCCCCCCCACCCCGTGCTCCCCACCTCCCTCCCATTTCCACCCCCCTTAGTTCTTGTTCCTGTGTCCTTCACATTTGTTCCTCCAAATCCCTCCCCTTTTCCCCCCTAAATTCCCTTCCCTCTCCTCTCTGGTCACTGTCCCCTTATTCTTTATTTCAGTGTCTTTGTTTTTATTCTGCTTGCTTGTTTGTTTTGTTGTTTAGCTTCCTGTTAAAGGTGAGATCATATGGTATTTGTCTTTCAACACCTGGCCTGTTTCACTCAGCATAATGCTTTCCAGTTCCATCCATGCTGTTGCAAAGGATAGTAGCTCCTTCCTTCTCTCTGCTGCATAGAATTCCATTGTGTATATGTACCACAATTTTTTGATCCATTCATTTACTGACGGGCACCTTGGTTGCTTCCAACTCTTGGCTATTGTAAATTGTGCTGCTATGAACATTGTGGTGCATAGGTTCTTTGATATTAATGTTTTAGGATTTTTAGGATATAATCCTAGCAGTGGAATTGCTGGGTCAAAAGTCAGGTCGATTCATACATTGATATTTCTATCCCTCTCCCCTTCCCCTTTAAGATAAATAAATAAAATCTTAAAAAAAAAAAAAAAAAGAAAAATCTTCTATGTACAATAGCATCCAAAAGAACAAAATTCTTAGGAATGAACTAAGGAGAGAAAAGACTTGTACATTGAAAACTACAAAACATTGCTGAAAGAAATTAAGGAAGACCTACAAAAATGAAAAGCCATTTAGTCTTACTCAACTGGAGGACTTCATGTTAAAATGTCAATACTGCGTAAAACAATCTACAGCTTTAACTCAATCCCTATCAAATTCTCAGTGACGTGTTTGGCAGAAAATTGAAAAACATATCCTCAAACTCATATGAACCTCAAGGCACTCCAAATAGACTAAATGATCTCTAAAAAGAAGAACAAAACTGGAGGACTTATCCCTTATGACTTAAAAATCTACAGCAACCGAAATGGCATGGAACTAGCATAAAGACAGTCACGTAGAATAAAGAGCTCTGACAGAAACCCTTGCTTTTCTGGTGCAGTGACTTTTTGACGAGGGGTCTGAGATCGTGTGACGGGGAAAGGAAAGTCTTCAACAAATGGTATAGGGAAAGCTGGGTGTCTGTGTGGAAAAGAACAAAGGCGGGCCAGTAGAAAAGTATGCCATGTATGAAGGTCCACCATGTAGGAAAATTAACTCAAAACGGATCCATGATCTAAATGCTGGACTTTCAACAGTAAAACTCTTAGAGAAAAACATAGGACAGTAACGTAGCAGGGTAAAAAATTAATATTCAGAAATCGTCTGCATTTAAAAATTTTTTTATTGAAGGATATATTTATTGATTAGAGAGAGAGAGTCATCGATCAGGGATCACACCTGCAACCTAGGTATGTGTCCTGATCAGGGATCAAACCCATACATTTTTGGTGTAGGGGAATGATGCTCTAAACCAACGGAGTCACCTGGCCAGGGCAGAAATAAGTTGCATTTTTGTAAGATTTTATTTATTTTTGGAGAAAGGGGAAGGGAGGGAGAAAGAGAGGGGGTGAAACATCAGTGTGTTGTTGCCTCTAGTACACCCCTTATCTAGTGCCAGGACCTGACCCGCAACCCAGGCACGTGCCCTGACTGGGAATCGAACCAGCAGTGCTTTGGTTCACAGGCCTGCGCCGAATCCACTGAGCTATCCCTGGCTCTTCGTTACAGTTTTATACACTAATAATGAATTATCAGAAAGAAAAGTTGTAAAAAATCCTATTTATGATTGCATCAAAAATAATAAAATACCGAGGAATAAATTTAACCAAGGAAGTAAGAGATCTGTACTCAGAATACTATAAGACATTGAAGAAGACACAAATGAATGGAAGGCTCATGGGTAGGAAGAATGAACATCATTAAAGTGGCCTATTACCGTGCTTGCTTCGGCAGCACGTATACTGAAACTGGAACGATACAGAGAAGATCAGCATGGCCCCTGCGCAAGGATGACATGCAAATTAATGAAGTGTTCCATAGTTTGGGGGGGGAGGGTAAATGCAGACAACTGTAATTGAACAACAATAAAATAATTTTTAAAAATGTTTAGCCCTGGCTGGTGTAGCTCAGTGGATTGAGCACAGATCTTCGAACCATAGGATCGCAGTTCAATTCCCAGTCAGGGCACATGCCTGGGTCGCAGGCCAGTTCCCAGCAGGGGACACATTAGAGGCAACCATACACTGATGTTAAAAAAATAAAAGAAAAAAATTTTTAATGGACTCTTACCCAAAGCAATCTATAGATTCAATGAATCCTTCCTTATCAAAATACCAATGGCATTTTTCACTAACTAGAACAAATACAACTAAAGTTTATATGGAACCACAAAAGACCCTGAATAGACAAAACAATCATGGCCCTGGCATAAAAACCGACAATGCCACAATATAGAGAGCCCAGAAATAAACCCACACATATATGATCAATTAATCTATGATAAAAGAGGCAAGAATATACAATGTGGCAAAGGCAGTCTCTAATGACTGGTGTTGGGAAAACTGAACAGATTAGTGCAAAAGAATAAAACTGGGTCATTTTCTTATACCATATACAAGAATAAATTCAAAATGGTTTCAAGACTTAAATAGAAGACCCCCAAACCATAAAACTCCTAGAAGAAAACATAGGCAGTAAACTCTCCGACGTTATCCTCAGTAACATTACTTTGGATACGTCTCTGGTCAAGAGAAACGAAAAAGAAAACAAACAAGTGGGACTAGATGGAGCTGAAAAGAAGTGCTACACAGTTCAAAACATAACTCTCATCTCCTCAGCTTTTCCGCAAATCTAAACTGTCCTAAAAATAAAGTTTACTAAACATGTAACTATACACTAATATTTTTAATATTAATGCTTAAGAGTAAGAGTCATCTACAAAAGCAAGCACAGTTGCTGAATAAACTGGACCGGTAAGTTGTATGAATTAAGCATGGAGTTAAATTCTTCCGGCAGCTAAATTAGGAAGGAGCAGGAAGGAAGGAGACAATTTTGGGAGGAGTGTCTGCCGTGGATTCGTACGGTGGTATGCCGGGTCCTGTTGCCTAGTTTACCGGCTGACACCCTCGGGAATCAAATCAGAACACCCTGTGAAAATCACAGTGGACACGTAGGGAGTTCACTAGTCTTCTCTCTCCGAAAACCTGGAGTTGGTGTTTGTGGCTGGTTTGTTACACTAGCAAACTTCCCAGGTCTTTTCAGCATCCAGCCTGTGGTTGGGGAACTAGGAACAGGTGTGAGATGATGGTGGCGTGGTGTGATTGGACCAAGTTGGCAGGGCCTTACATTTCTCTTTTTTGTTTATACTACTACTAATATTCTCATCATAAGAGTGAAACCATTAAAAAGAAAAAAAAAAAAAAAAAAGAGTGAAACCTGCCCTGGCTGGTGTGGCTCAGTGGACTGAGTGCTAGACTATGAACCAAAGGGTCGCTGGTTGGATTCCCAGTCAGGGCACATGCCTGGGTTGCAGGCGAGGTCCCCAGGGGGTGTGTGAGAGGCAACCACACATGAATGTTTCTCCTCCCTCTTTCTCTCTCTCCCTTCCCCTCAATCTAAATAAATAAATGGCTTCATCAAAATAAGAAACTTAAAAAAAAAAAAGAGTGAAACCTACATCGAAGTATCACTGAGCAAAACTGAAAATGCCCATACACCCCAACTCCATACCCACTGCCCACCCACTACGGGAACCACCACCCACACCTTGGGCTTGCCTCTCCTTTCTGTATTCCTGTTCCCTGTCTTACATCGGGAAGAGAAAATCCCAAAGCACAAATCCCATGGCGGTTCTCCATGTCTCCTAGTACCCGTGTTTTAATGCCAAAGCACCTTGCACACGGTTGTGACTGCCCATTGGCTGTGTGTTGGTTTTGTAGATTGTAAGCGACCGCTGGCCAAGGCTGGGTTTCACTGCATTTTGTGGCCCTGGTGCTTGGCACTGCAGCTTCTAACGAGGAGGCAGGAGGATACTGTTGCCGAGGGCCCTGGGTGGAGGAGGGCTGGCTGCCTGGATAAACTGTCTGCCTTTCTCAGGCTGGTTCGTGCTTAAGTGACATTTAAGGGCCAGCCTCTAGGCTGTGATCCAGTCAGGTCTACGCACTCCGGCCGCCAGAACTGAAGCCCCCCCGAAGGAAGAGAAATGCATGAGTAATGTACTGAAGCAAAGGTCTTTCAGGGAAGATGCCATGGGGCCATGGGACTGTCACATCTCCGAGCCTCATTTTCCTCCTGTTACAGCGGAGGAAAAGCTCCTAAAAATGGAATTCATAAAATCTGCCCCATTTAGGTGGAGAAACTGCAGAATAGATCAGGGGTAATGTTATGTAGCAACTACCCGCTGCGTACTCCCGAGGCCTGGGCTGCCCACCCGCGGTGGCCCGGTCGCTATGACCTTTTGTCCCGTCCGTTCGGCCTCTAGACCCGGCCGGAGCCGGGCGGTGCCCTGCTGTCCTGGAAGCGAGCGCGGGTGGCAGGGAGCAGAGGCCGCCTCCTCTCCGGCCCCTCGGGCTGCGCCGCCGTCCTGTGGCCGCCGGGAGGCGACCTCCGGCCGGCCCGCGGGCCCCCTCCCTCGGCGGGTGACATCACCGCATTCCTGTCCCGGCTCCTCCCGCCCGCACCGCGGTGACAGGCGAGCCGGGCCGGTAGTGGGGAGGAAGTGCGGGCGGGCCGCGCCGAGCTCGTCCCTGCGGAGGTCGGCTCCCTGGGCTCTCGGGTGACAGCGCCGCGGCCGCCGGGCGCAGCGCCGGGCACACGCCGCGCGGAGCCGAGCGCCAGGCGGACGCCCCAGCAGAGGCGCGGGGAAAATGGCTGATGACTTTGGCTTCTTCTCGTCGTCGGAGAGCGGGGCCCCGGAGGCGGCCGAGGAGGACCCGGCGGCTGCTTTCCTGGCCCAGCAGGAGAGTGAGATCGCGGGCATAGAGAATGACGAGGGCTTCGGGGCACCTGCCCTCGGGCAGCCAGGACCCGCGAGCGGGGGTGAGTCAGCACGGTGGCCTGGGCACTGGGGGGCCCGGGCCCGGGGTGTAGGACCGGCGCAGACAGGGCCTCCAAGCCTGCGGCGGAGTGCACAGGGCCTGCTCTCTACCGGCCAGGAGCAGGCCTCGGGCTCGTTTGTGTGTGTGTGTGTGGGGGGGGGCGGTATGTGAAGAGGACCCGGGCAATGGGGAGGAACCTTGGAGATCCCTGTCGGAGTCCCCACCTGAGCTTGTGGATCTGGTGCTCCAGGGACAAAAATTCATGGTGACATTTCATCCCCAGGCCAGCTCCACCACTGCCTGGCTCTGGAATCCAGGGCAGCCCAGCCCTGGCAGTCGCCTGATCCTCCCCCAGCCTGGCTGTCTCAGGCTCCCAGCTGAGCCGGGAAGGTGTGGGCACTACGGCAGAACTCTATGCCCCTTGAAGGTAGCCTCCTCCTTCAGCGGGGAGGGCAGGGGGCGCTGGGTGCTCCACGAACTCACCAACTTTCCCTTGGGACCACCTGCCGTCCTGCACTCACAGGGCTAGGCACTTTACTTACATTTAATCATTTTACATGCAGTGTTAAACCCATTTCAGAGATGGCAAAATCGAGGCTCAAAAAGTACAGTACTAAAACAACTAGCAAGTGGCAAAGCAACACTCTAACCCTGCTTCTGTCAGACTCTGAGACCTCTCCAGCTGACCACGCTGTCTTCCACACGCCCCACTCTGGCTCGGACACACCAGGACACCAAGGGCTTCGGGTCACGCGGGGTCTGGCCCTCTGGCATCTCCTAGAGGTGGTCCGGGGCTACTGTGGTGGGCTTCAGACGCAGGGTTCAGGGGCCTGGGCCTTGTGACGATGTTCCTGCCGTGGTTCTGTCTTAACAGGAACAAGAGAACAATTTCTTAAAATGTTTAGTAAAAAATAGGGGTGTCATCTTCATGGGAGTATCCAAAACAGCTGTCGCTTCCTATTAATGTTGTCGTTTTGGGGGGGGCAGTTATGGGCCAATTGGAATAAGTGGTAGCTTCCATTTAAAAAAAAATGTACAAGTAAGGCATCTTATAGTTGTGTTTGTATTCATTCCACATTTACTGAGCCTCCGCCGGGTGCCAGGCCCGCTGGGGACACGGACGTGACTAAGACAGTTCCTGTGGCTTGAGGAGCTGGCAGCTTCTCTGTAGCCCCTCGCTGTGAGAGATGAAACAGGCCTTTTATAACATGTAAGAAACCGGAGGCCCAGAGGGCTTGACTGTCTTGCCCAAAGTCACACAGCCATAAACGACAGCTCTGGGACTCAATCCGGTCCCCGGCTTCACAAGTCTGGGCTCCGAGCTCTTTCCAAAGCTTTGGCAGTCACCCTGGGAGGCGATGGGCTGTCAGGGTGAGGAGGGGGGTGAGGAGGGGGGTGAGGAGGGGGGTGAGGCTTCTGTTCCCCACCAGCTGTGGAAGTTTCCGAGGCTGCAGCTCAGCCCAGACCCTCACGCCTCCCAGGGAATTCCCAGGAAGTGCCTGTCTGCATTCACGCACCAGTATTCATCTGTCCACACCTCCTCCTTGAGACCATCAGCCTCCCCAGTCTGGCTTGGCCTCAGGGATTCCCTGCTGAAAGGAGTCCAAGACAGAACGCTCTGAGGGAGTAGAATCGGGCACAGGGCAGCCAGAGGCCTCTGGGAGCAGAGCAGGTCCTGGCCTCTCCCAGGACGGCCTGGACAGGCGGCGCCCTCTCTGGCGGGGATGGGGCTCGGATTGGCGGCATGCCTGAGGTGGCAGGGAGATAAGCAGGGACAGGGTTCTCTGAGGGTCTCCTGGACTCACGCCCACCGAAGCGGCCAATGCTCAGCTGCCTCCTGAGTGAGGCACGGGGATTCGGGAGGTGCTGTGGGTTGGCGGCTCGGTGGGTGGCCAGGCAGGATGGACTGCATCTGTCCTCCTCAGCCTCGATGGTGCTGGGCGAGTAATGTCTCCTGACGAGCGCTGAGTGCTGGGGGCCAAGATGGATGGGGAACTAGGCTTCGGCCTGCTGGGAGCTGTGCAGATGCTGGCTCCCGCCGCCGCTGCCAGTCAGCACCTCTGAGACGATGCCTGTGCTGCATGCCCTGACGTCGGGTCCCCAGGGCCCCCGGAGGGAGAGGTGTCAGATGTAGGCCAGTGCCTGAGCCGCTCTGTGTCTCTCCTCTGGGGCCCGGGCTGGGGCCAGCCTGGGCAATGGACACTTTGTTTCCACTCATCCTCCAGGGTGGGGCCCAGAAGGTTTACTTTCTCACACCCAGATAGCCGAGCGTGACCGCGCCTGGCTCAGTCCCTGACTTGCCTAGTCAGTTCCTGGCAAGCCCGTTTCCTTTAGTGGGCCTCAGTAAGCTCCCAGGAATGTTCTGGACCCTGTCTGCCCTCGTCTCAGAGGGGGTCAGGAATCCGAGTGGAACAGCACCCACAGGCCCCCGTGTCTGCCCATTCCCGTCCTGCTGGCCTCTGACCGGGGACACGTGATTATAAAAGTGCAGCAGACGAATCGAAAAGCACTGTGGGAAGAGATGCTTGTACTTGCGCGTGAGGGTATGTGTGGGTTCCCAAGGAGGCTGCACCCCATGTCCAGAGGAACGCTGGAGACTGGAGATGGGACTGGGAGATGGCATGCAGGTCCTCTCTAAAGGGCAGGTGGGCCTCAGGCCCCTGGACCAGGGGCCTGAGCCTGGGACTGGACAGAGTGGAGGAGGCTGGTACAACTTCCACTCCAGAGAGGCCAAGCACGCAGACCACTGTCATCCTGGATGGACCCCGGTATCGTGTGGCCCTGGTAGAGGGGGGGCCCTGGGGGAAGATGCTGCCCCTTGGGCAGGAGGAGCTCTGTCTGAACACATAGGGGTGATGGCTGACATGGTTGGTCAGACTCAGCCGCTGTAGGACTCTGAAAACAGAGTGCATTATCATTTAGAGCAACCGGATTGTTTCGTGGACCGAGCGCCCCTCCTTGCCACCCGTAGCTCTGGCTGGTAAAGGGATACCTGTCCATCTGTGGGCATCTCGTGTGGCCTCCTGTGGCTTTTTGCTGGGAGGCCCTGTAGGTCCTGAGAGGCCTCAGACAGCCTTTCGGCTAACAGTGGGCCCCCAAAGAGCAACTCTCCATTTCCATTTACCCAGCACTTACTGTTCGCCCATTCTGTGCAGGAGCCTTTGGGAGCCGAGTGGGATACTGAGCCTGATAAAAGACTCCATGGCCCCTGGGAGGCCACGAGTAATTGCAAAAAGGGTGGGGGTGCTGTGAAGTATTCCGGGAAACCCCAGAGGTGAGACCATCCATCAGAGGCAAGGGAAGCAGGAACAGGAGTGGAGGGCTTCTCCGAGGAGGTGGCTTGTGGACTGAGTCCTGGAGAGGAGCAGGGTCTAAGAGCATTCTTGAGAGTGAAGCGGGAAGAATGGCATGGGGCACAGGATGGTGTGTCTGGGACGGAGGAAACCAGAATAGGGTTTGTGGGAGGGACTGGTGGGCAGTGGGGCAGCGGAAGTGGACAGGACCCCACTGGAAAGACCTGCAGGGGCTCTGGTCTGAGGGTGGAGCTACTCATGCAACAGGCATTTACTGAGCCCCAGTTGCGTGCCAGGCACTGGGTGCTGGGCCCCAGCGGTGGACGAAACAAAGCCCCTGCCCTCGTGGAGGGTCCACTCAAGGGGGGAAGACAGACAGTAAGCACATGCGCACGCACACGCACACACTGAGCTGTGTTAAGTGCTATAGAGCAAATGCCACCAGGGCGGCGGGGTGCCTGAGGGATGAACTTGTGGGGGGGGGGAAGGGCAGTAACGAGGCCCCCCAAGGGCTGAAGGGAGCCAGGGAGCGGCCCGTAGACCACTGTGGTCCATGGGAAGTGGGTTTCCTTTGGGTTCGTTTTTATTATATTTTACATCAGAGGAGTGACACAGGTAAGCATATGCATTACAGGCACGCGTTATGGGCGAGAGCTGGAGCTGCAGCAGGGCAGGGGGCAAGTGGGAGCCCTGGCATTGGTCCAAAAGGGGGTTGGTGCAGGGCGAAGCTGGAGTTGGGGGGTCCTGTGAGTGAGCAAAAGCCAGTCACTCACTCTTTCTTTCTTCAGTGCATTTATTCATTTGTTTATTCAACAAATGGCTTCTGACTCTTACTGAGTCCCAGGCACCCTGTGGGGCTCTGGGAAAGACAATGATGAGGAGAAAGGTTGCACGTGGGCCCCTCCAGGTGTTTGCTACCCACAGGGTGACTGAGGCTGGGGCCAGGCAGGGCGCAGGGAGCAGAGAGCAACTTTGAGGGTCACTGTTGCCGCAGAAGCCACAGAATTTGTGACTAATCAGATGTCAGGGAAAGGGGCCAGGAGGAGCCACAGTCAGGGCCAGACGAAGTCCTGAGAGAGGCGGGAGGAGGAAAAACAGGGCAGGTGCTTCCTGGTGGGGCTGCAGTTCCTGTTCTCGCAGGTGGGGCTGTCGCTCCAGGCGCAGCAGGGACGGGCGGGGACTGGCAGGGCCCTCTTCCTTGGCTTTTGCAGCCCCTGCCCTGAGCCTGCAGCACCTCTGCTGGCTCCCTGCTCCCCGCCCTGGCGGGCTCAGGCTCCACCACAGTTGGGCCATTCCCAGCTCAGCAGAGGGTAAATCCACTTCAGGGAGGAGAGGAGCGCTCAGGGACTGAATGGCCATGGGCAAACACATCGCCTCTTGGGGCCTCGGTTTGGGAATCTCTACAATGGGTTGGTAACAACTTCATCACAGTCACAGGTTGTGGTGAAAAATCACATGTGTTAAAGGCTGGGAGAAGGCATGGTGAACAAAGGGCTGAGTCCCAGTGCCCGTCGCGTCTGGGTGGGCAGTTGACACATGACCCTGTGTATAGGGGTTGGCTCAGGCGCTGCTGTAGGGCCTGCTGTAGGCTGAGCAATGAGTGATGCTGTCTCCTTGTTCTCTCTCCAGCTGGTTCTGAGGACATGGGGACCACGATCAATGGAGATGTGTTTCAGGTGAGCAAGACTCTGCCCTCGAGGCCGCAGGGACCAACAGCCTGGGTCTCAGACCCTCTGACCCCGTCGTGAGTGGGATTGTGGCGTCTGGCTTCCTGTTCACTCCGGTCTGATGCACTGGGGTGGAACACAGAGGTTTGACCTGTTTTCTTGTCACGCAGGACAGGGGGTGAGGGAGAAGGATCAGGAGAGGCAGGGATTGGGGGGTGTGGCCTCAGTCTGCCCACTCTGATGTCCTGCTTCTGGAGGAAGGGATGGAGTGGCCTGCAGTGGCATGGACAGAGGCATAGGGCCCTGCCCCCGCAGGCCTCCCAGGCCAACCTGAGTGGCCATCTCTAATCGGGCAGGCCTTTGACCCAGAGGCCACACTTCTCAGAACTTGCCCTCAGGAAAGAACTGGACAGGGACACCCGGACTATTTGCAGGGTGATTTATGTGCAGTACCCGGCAAGTGGAAACAACCTAGGTGTCCAGTGCGGGGGCCTGGGGGCCTGGGGGCCACACTGCTGTGAAAAGAGCAGCCGGCGCTTTCTGTGCTGGTGCATAAAGGTGCCCACTGTACAGCAAGTGGAGACGTGGCTTGCAGAATAATACACACCGTATGGTCTTGCCATTTTTTTAAAGAAATATGTTCCTGCAAAATATCGGAAAGGATGTGTACCAGCTGTTAACAGTGGTTAGCCCTGAGGTGAGGAATGTGGAGAAATATGAGGAGGGCTTTCACTTTCGTTGTGTAAAAACCCTTCTAGTGGCCCCACACTGCAAACACACCAAAACACCTAGTGCGGGCGTTTCTGGTGGAAGCCGGCCTCTCTGTGTGCCCACCCAACCCTCCTCCCCTCATACATATGCAAATTGGTTTGAAAGTACTTAGACTGATGAGTCATTATTCTGAACACTTGAAACTTAGGTAATATTGTAGGTGAACTGTACATTCATTTTAAAAAAGGTATAAAAGTATTTAGCCCTGGCTAGTGTGGCTCAGTGGATTGAGTGCGGGCCTGCAGACCAAAAGGTTGCTAGTTCTCTACCCCCAGGTGGGGCACATGCCTGGGTTCCCAGTTGCGGGCGTGTGAGAGGCAACCGATCGATGTTTCTAAACAAATAAATAATCTTAAAAACAAAATAAAACAGTATTTAGGCTGAGAGAACTTGGCCTGCAGATGGTGTCCCCAGGCCCCACAGATGCAACAGTCCTCACCCCCCACCCCCACCTTTGCCTGAGTAAAGGGGACCCTTCAGTGGCTGAGCCTTAATCCCCACCCGATTGGGTCAAAGACCCCTGCCCGCTCGGCTGCAGCTCTGGGCCCCGCGGGCCCCGCCCTGTCCCTCCCCGGCTGCCAGCCCTGTTGCCCTGTTACCCTGTGGAGGAGCTGGCCCCCGAATCCTCGGGGAGAACAAACAATACAATCTTATGTAAGAGGGATGGGCTGGTACCTTGCACAAGGAAACTGGCCAAGTCCTGTTTCTGGAAAATTACTCAACTGTCTGCCTCTAGGGCTTCAGGACTTCGAGTCTGTGTGGGCCTGAGAGCCCTACATGCCCAGCGTGCCTCCTGGTTGGTTTGGCAGACCACCGAGGCCCAGGCTGCCCCCGGCCGGGTCACACGCAGAAGGGCTCTGCTCGGCCCAGAGGTCTGGATCCTAAAGCGGGCCTGGAGCTGGAGACAACCGTGGGGCCGCACAAAAGGCTGGCATTTTCCCTTTCTGTAGATTAGGGTCTGAGCCTGCTCCCTCCGCCCTCTCCAGCCTCGCTTTGTGTGTGGTGGGTCTGAGGAAGCTGGGCCCGCTCCCCAGTCTCAGCTGGAACGCTCATTCTCACCCTCACTGGTCCCAGTGATAATCCCAGGCATGTGTCTTTGTAAGTCCTTTCACATCTGTGCCACTCTTGAAACCTGACAGGCAAGAAGGGTCACAGATGAGGCCCGTCACCCAGAAATCCAGGTCCACCAGTCCTCCTGCCCCCTCCCCCCCCCGCCCCGTGCCCTTTGCACCGTGTCACATCCTTGTAGATGAATTGTGCAGGTGGGTGGCCGGTGGGAGGCCCAGGATTGAACACAGTGCAGGTCTGGCTTGTGCTGCTGGGGAGGGAGGTGGAGCCTCACCTACCTAACACTTTCAAGGGACCCGGGCAGAGCTTTCTTGCTACTTTTGCTGTTGTTGGTGGTGGTGGCGGCAGCAGCCTGTGGGCCACTAGGGGGCCCAGCTAGGAACCTGATCCCCAGCAAGGCCTAAGGATAAGCCTGCTCACTCCCTCTGGCACTGCGGGAACTGGAATGGGAGTTCCCTCCTCCGACTTACTCTGCTTGCCACACGCCTTTGAGCTACTTAGAGGAATCAGCAGCTCAGCCCAGCTCAGCTTTAGCTGCTCAGTCCCAAAGAACCGTACGCGCCGCCCCCCCCCCCCCCGCCGTGGCTCTTGAGTCACAGCACTGCGTGGCCCGCGGAGATGCTCACGTGGAGCCCAGCAGCTGGGTCCGCAGGAGAGGGGCGCCACTGGGCCTGCCACTCCTGGCCCCTCCCCTCTCCAGCTCAGAGCGTTCCTGCAGCCGCCGGTGGGCCCGCCCAGGCTGCCCGCCCTCTCTCTGGGCAGCTGACCAGCTTTCCTCACCGGGACGTTCTGTGATTAAAGAGCCGCCTTGCTGTCCTCCCCCGGCCCCGCCCACACTACTCGCTGGCAGAGGCGGGGCTGAGAGCTGCCGGAGAAGAGGGACAGGCAAACCGTGTCTCAGGACTTCCTCTGCCCGCAGCCCCACTGCGCTCTCCCACCGGGCAGCCTGGCTCCGTGCACCTGGGCTGCCTGCTGGCCCTCTCACGTGCACACCTTATACATGGGTGGCATTTGTTACACATGGTCCCCACTGCACATCCTGATTGGGATGTCGCTCCTCCCATTTGACAGGTGATGAAGCACAAGAAGCCCCGGAAAAGGTCTGTCAAACTTCCCACATCCAGTGAGTGGCAGGACGGGACTTGAAGCCCAGTCCCTCTAATGCTGTGTCCCAGGCTGTTCCCACGCCCTCCAATTAGCTCTGCCGGCAGCCGCTGGCTCCTTGCTTGAATGAGCTCAGGGTCCCAGAGTGCTGAGTGCCGCAAGCTGTGCTGGGGCGGTGAGCACAGACAGAGGCAACCCCAGGCCGAGTCTGTCTTCAGCTTGCTTGCGGGAAGAAGTGCAGGTTGAGCGGGGCAGCAGGGGCTTGGAGCCTGCGGACTCTGAAGAGTCCACTTGGGTTCTTACCACGTGTCAGGCATCAGGAGCTTTAAGTGACTTAACTCATTTCATCCTCCCTATGATGTAGGTCTGTCATCATCCCCACTTTACAGGTGAGGAGGGGGACTCACCTGGAGTTCAAGCTTCCTCTGGTGACACAGTGGGGACTTGAACCAGGCTCAGGCCCCAGGTGCTGCCCTGAAGTCGGGAAGGCCCCCAGGAGGGGGTGCTGAAAGTGGGATAGAGGCTGCCCGAGGGGGTGTGGGTGGTCCTGGCTGAGAGGACAGCATGTGCCAAGACATGGAGGCTATGGGGCCGCTGTGGAGAGAGGGGGAGCATTGGGGAGCTTGAGGAGGCCGGAGGCCGAGGCGGCAGGACTGTGCTGCAGGCCCAGCTGCCAGCCAGAGCACTCGGTGGGCTGCACCTCTGTGGGGGGTGGTGGGGGAGGCAGGCCCAGCTCTGTGAGGGCCTGGGGCACAGCCATCTCGGGGCAGTGTGTTGGCACTGTGCCCCTGCATGTGCAGCTGCTGCAGGGGCTGAGAGAAGGTCCGGGGGCCCCAGTGCTCCTCAAGGCTGCTCCCCGACCCAGGCTGGGTCAGGCTGCAGGGGAAGAATCTGGATAGAGAGTCAGACAGCCTGGGCTTCATTTCTGGCTTTTCTCAGCCAGATGACCTTGCACTAGTCATTGCTCCAGCCAGATCTCTCAGGTCCGGGGAGAAAATCTGCAGCCCAGGAAGCTTGCTATCAATCCTGACCCAGCCACCGAGCAAGCCCAGGGGGTGTGCGTGTGAGAGAGAGATGCAGGGGGCACAGGGGCCAAGGGGTGCTGGCTCAGAGCCTGGGAAGATACATTTATCTGGGAGACAGAACGTAGGTGCACAGACCATGTGATGCAGAAATGACTTTGGTCCCTTTTGGCTACTCTGTGGCCTCTATGCCTGCACCCAGGAATCAGTGTGAGTCCTGGCTCTGCCACTTCCTGACTCGGTGACCTTGGGACTTTGGCACTAGCTAGACTGTCCCTGCCTGTAAAAACAAAGGCCATAAAGCTACCCTGCACAGTGGCGCAGGTCAAAGAGAACCGTTCGATTGCAAGTTCCCTGCCAGATGTAAAGCTCTGTAACCTGGGAGTGTTAGTTTTAGGGCAAGCTTTGAGAGATGGTGGGCCCTAAGGGACAAGGAGGGTGAGCCTGCTGCCCAGGGGACCCTGCCAGCCCCCCTCCCACCCCATGTCCTCCATACCTGGTGGCCTCTCTGTGCTCAGAGCTCCCCAAAGGGTCCTGCCCCACATAGCCCTTAGGCTGCTTTTGGCCGGAAATGCCCTCCCCCCATCTCTTCCTGTCCCACTCTGTCCTCAGGCTGGGACCAACCTGCCCCTCCTGCTTCCCAGGGTCCTTGACTGGGGTCACAGCAAGTCCCCCTGCCATGGTCGTTTTCCAGGGACAGCTCCCGTCTGATGGGCCGTGTCATTCACTCCCGTCCCCAGGCCTGAGCATGTTAATTCACCCAGTAAATGTTCTTGAACTCCGCTTGCAGCCAGGCCCTCCCATCCTGGATGCGGCTCATGAACAGGCTGTCCCCGAGGTGGGAGGAGATAAACAGTGTGCACCGAACAACAAACCTGTATTCTCAGATTGCGACAGGTGCCAAGAAGCAGGTAAAATGCAGCACCTGGATGAACATGTTCACAAGAGAAACTGTAGTCTGCAGGCAGGACTTGTCCAGGATTGGGCAGGGGACTCTGCAGCCTGGCCTCAGGGCAGGGTCGCTTTCTGAAGTGGACCAGTGCTACTTGTGTTCTCTAGATTCAGGGCCTGGAAGGGTTCCTGGGGACCTCAGGAGACTAAACTCAAGTGCAGGAAAGAGGAATGAGGGCTCCACCCAAAGTGCGCTACTCAAGGGTGGGCCTGACCTGAGGTACCAGGCTACGGCACCCCAGCCTGGGCCTTCCCGGTCCCCAGATAGCCGGAGGTTGGCGTGTGCCCATTCACCCTGGCCACCTGCACCCCTCCAGCAAGTGTACACGCACATGGCGCCTGCTCTGACCTGGCTGCCACACTGCACCAGCTGCAGGTCGAGACCAGGGCAGTGTCTGAGTGCTTGGAGGAGGGGCACGGGGAAGGGCGAAACTGGGGCTTAGAGGCTCAAACCAGGTCCCGCCCTGCCCTGCCCTCAGCCTCCAGGGGAGACTTACACAGTGGAGGGTGACACAGCGGGAAGGGGTGTGACATCTGCTTGGGGTTGGGAACTATTCCAGAGCTTGTGATTTTTAGCTGGAAACTCCGTGGGATGGAGTAAGACTTCATCAGCTGGAGAAGGGAGGAGACCATCTTAGGTCAAGAGCAGAGGCGGGCAGGAGTGGGTGGGGTATGTGCAGACAGGAATGCGCAGGGCGTGCCGAGTGCCAGGGAGGGCATCTTGGGAGGTGGGACTGACTCGTAAAAGCTCGGCTAGACCAGAGGGGAGCCGAATCCTTACTGGGCTGAGCTCTGAACCCCAACACTTGGGGTCCCTACCTCTGGCGGGTGTTGTGGAGAAGTGGGCAGAGCCCTGGTCTAGGGGTCAGAGGCTCTGCCACTATATCATGCCATCTTTCGTGGCCTCTGTTTCCTCCCCTGTAAAATGGGAATGAATAGCCCTGGCTGGTGTGGCTCAGTGAATTGAGTGCTGGCCCGTGAACCCAAGGGTCACCGGTTCAATTCCCAGTCAGGGCACACGCCTGGGTTGTGGGTCAGGTCCCCAGTAGGGGGCGTGTGAGAGGCAACCGATGGACAGCTCTCTCACACAGTGATCTTTCTCTCCCTCTTCCTCTCTCCCTCCTTTCCTGTCTCTAAAGATAAATAATAAAATCTTAAACCAATAATATAAAATGGGAATAATAATAATAATGCTAGCTACCATCCAGTCTTCTTAATGTGTTGCAAATAGTGTTGCACCAGATCCTCACAACAGCTCTTAGAGGTAGTTTTACTATTACCGCCATTTCGGATGAGAAAACAGGCCCAAGCTTACGCGCCTTGCCCCCGCTGACGTGCGCCTCCAGTCAGCAGCAGGGGTGGGGTTTGCAGCCAGACACTCTGACTGCAGAGTCCACGCCCTTTGCCGTGCTCCTAGCTGTGGTCATCCCACCTGTCCCACGTCTGCCTGCTCGCTGAGCACATACTTACGGAGCATCTGCTACGTGCCAGGCATAGTGTTGGGCACTGAGGACACAGCAGGGAACAGGACAGACAGGTCCTTGTCACCGTGAAAGTGGCATTCTGATGGAAGAGACAGACACTGGACAAGCAAAGAGTGAGGCCATTTTGGAACGTGTGCATATTATTGGGTAAATAAAACTGTCGCAGAGATGGACTTTAGTGACAGGAACACAAGGAGCTCACTGTGTGCCAAGAAGCGTTAGAAGTTCTTGACATTTGTAAAACTCATTTCATTCTGATATCAACCCTAAAGAGTGAGTACTCTTATTTAGCCCATTTTGTGACGAGGAAAGGGAAGCCGAGAGGTTGAGTGACTTGTCTGGGGTCACACAGGGAGAAGGGTTGCTGGCAGAGGGCACAGCGGGTGCAAAGGAGACAGTGGGTGTGAGGTTGTTTGAGATGTGCGGGGTCCCCCGATCCTGGGGCGGCAGAGACCAGGGAGCGGGAGGATGCCCCAGGTGCACGGCTCTGTGTGTGTGTCCTAGGAGGCTAACGGCCCAGCTGACGGCTACGCTGCCATCGCCCAGGCTGACAGGCTGACGCAGGAGCCCGAGAGCATCCGCAAGTGGAGAGAGGAGCAGAGGAAACGGTTGCAAGAGCTGGGTGAGGGCAGGGCTGAGGCCGGTTGGCTGTCTGGGGCACGGGGAGGAGTGGGGACACCAGGGCACCCATCTCCCTGTTAGTGTGGGAACTGTGTCGGGGTGGGCTCTGGGAGCCGGGACGGGAGCACCAGGCCAGCTGTGCCCTTCGTGTGTACTGGAAAGATGCCACTCATGCTCCCATCGGGTTTCAGATGCTGCCTCCAAGGTGACAGAACAGGAGTGGCGGGAGAAGGCCAAGAAGGACCTGGAGGAGTGGAACCAGCGCCAGAGTGAACAAGTCGAAAAGAACAAGATCAATAACCGGTGAGAGATGCTACAGAGACAGGAGAGGGGCTGTGGGGACAGGAGGGTGGCTATGGGGACAGGAGAGGAGC